ATAAAATAATCTTGTGCCTTAGGATTTTTCAGCCATGCATCAGTTAACTTCATCTTCTCAACTTGATGAATAAATTCAGAGTTATTTCTACTGTTGGCAATATTCCTCCAGAGTATCAGAAGTTCACCTCGATTTTCTTTAATATTCAGATTTCCCTGTTTATTAGTCCATCTTAACCATGCCTGTTCTCGATGGAAATCACATATGTAAGTTGGGCAATTGAAAATCCTGGTAATTGCATTATATTCTGCTTCGCAGTTATCAGTTACGAAATATTGAGGAGACCACATCGTATTCCATGATTTAATTATTGTTAAACCTTCTTCAATAGATTTTGAGTCTTCACATTGGACAAAAAATGAAGCAACAACAGAATAGTTAACGTTGGTTTTTACAACAAGGAGGAATAATGGAAGTGCATATTTTGTAGTTTTGTATGTTGCGTCAAGAAAACATACATTACCATATCGATTGAGTAAGTATCTTTGCCATTCTGTTTGTTGACAAAAAAGTAATTGTTTTATAATTCCATCCTCTTCACTAAATGGCTGGAAATAAAAATTATCTTTTGGTTCAGATATTTTCCATTGTTCGATTTTAATTTGAAGAGCATTTTGATCAATTTTGCTTTGATGTTTTTGATATGTGAATTTTATAATAAAATTTCTTATTGTCCGTTCATCAGGGTAAAACGCTCGTGACAAAATTGATGGTTTTAAATTCGAACGTTCAACAAAATCTTTCAACATCGACTCAACAATTTTTACATTTGAAAATCCATTATTTACCAATCTTGATATTTCGTTATAAACAGATTTATCTATTGGGAGATTTAAAAGAGAAGTTTCAATTACGTGGTTGTGTACTGACGGTAAGGAAACATGTATTAGATATTTATTTTTCGTTACTATTTGTTTTCCCATCTCAATATCCTTTTTTAAACAATCAAGTATCTAAAATTAAAAAAAAATTCAAATGTTTTAATAATTTATTTTCAGATTCAACGCCAATTTAAAAAACTTATATTACCTGTTTTTTAAGCCTCCATTTAGTCAGTGAACACTCTGTTATTACATATTCTGGGAAATACA